TGGGGCACTATTCCTCCCACTGACACCAACATTGGGGCACTATTGCTCCCCCTGATACCAATGATGGGGGCACTATTCCTCCCACTGACACCAATGATGGGGGCACTATTCCTCCCACTGATACCAATGATGGGGCACTATTCCTCCCACTGATACCAATGATGATGGGGGCACTATTCCTCCCACTGATACCAATGATGGGGCACTATTCCTCCCACTGACACCAGTGTTGGGACACTATTCCTTCCAGTGATGGGACACTTTTCCTCCCACTGACACCAGTGTTGGGGCACTATTCCTCCCACTGACACCAATGATGGGGCACTATTTCCCCCCACTGACACCAATGATGGGGCACTATTCCCCCCACTGACACCAATGATGGGGCACTATTCCCCCACTGACACCAATGATGGAGCACTATTCCCCCCACTGACACCTATGATGGGGCACTATTCCTCCCACTGACACCAATGATGGGGCACTATTCCTCCCACTGACACCTATGATGGGGCACTATTCCTCCCACTGACACCAATGATGGGGCACTATTCCTCCCACTGACACCAATGATGGGGCACTATTCCTCCCACTGACACCAATGATGGGGCACTACTATGATGGGGCACTTCCTCCCACTGACACCAATGATGGGGCACTATTCCTCCTGTCTTGGAAATTCGCTTTAACGAATTTCTCCTTACCGTGAGTACTCGCAGTTGGATGCGCAGAAATCCCCCATAAAGCTGTGCGAATCTTGCTTACCACGACTGCAGCTAAACTACACAATTCCTGCCCCTCCAACTACTTTTAGCTTCTGTTGAGATGTGGGTGATTGGAGCTCCGTTACCCAAGAATGATCACACGACCCTCTCAAGATGATGTTGGAATTCACATAGAGGCTGGCTTCAGACTCAGCCCCCGGTTTTATTACAGACACACACGCCCCCCACACATGAATAAGGTCAATTCCCTCCCACAGAACAATGCAATGGGGAGTGCCTATACACAGGATGTACATTCCGATTGGAGCATAGCCTTTCCTATTTATCACTGGTCCCCCCCATGACCCCTCTGAGGTCAGCAGACTTCCTCCCCTTCCCCCCATGAGCCCTCTGTGGAGAGCATATCTCCTCCCCTTCCCCCCATGAGCACTCTGTGGAGAGCATATCTCTTGTCCCAGCTCCTAGCAGTATGTTCATTTTCTGTACAAGCATCCCCCAGGCTAAACACCAGTCTGTACCTGGATGGGCCCGATACGATCTTTATTAAAACACATCCATCCGGATACAGTTCAGGTCGGTAATGGGTTGTAAGATATGCATAAACCTACACGCGGAGTTCGTACCGCTTGGCGCCTTGCGTTACGAAGTCCATGTGGTACTATGCTGCTGATATGTGGATACAGGCCCGCGGCCCACCGCCAGCAGCATTCGCATCGAATGCCGTGGTTGTATACACGCCGGTCTATAAGCGCAGATCTGCCATCTCATCCATTACTGAGCTGAGTACTGTAATACATACATTGTACATGCGCATGGCCCAATTGCAGCCTTCAGAGCTTTAATTAAGCCACACGAGAGACATATGAATAACACTCATATATGACACATTTAAAGTTCAACCAACAATACAAAATTTCCATGACACTCCCACTGACACCAATGATGGGGCACTATTCCCCCCACTGACACCTATGATGGGGCACTATTCCTCCCACTGACACCTATGATGGGGCACTATTCCTCCCACTGACACCAATGATGGGGCACTATTCCTACCACTGATACCAATGATGGGGCACTATTCCTCCCATTGACATCACTGATGGGACACTATTCCTCCCACTGACACCAATGACGTGGCACTACTCCTCCCACTGCAAAATTACAGTTATGAAGTAGCAACGAAAATAATTTTATGGTTGGGGGGTCACCACAACATGAGGAACTGTACTAAGGGGTCGCGGCATTAGAAAGGTTGAGAACCACTGATATAGGGGAACCATGACCTCCTTCCTTCTACTGGTGACCTCTTTCGTGATACATCCTAAATTCTATTTGCTTTTCCCACTGCATGGCCACACTGTTTGCTCATTTTGCATCATCTGAAATAAGTACCCTTAAATCTTTTTCCTCTGTAGTGCTGGCCAACAGTGTACCCCCAATATTGTACACATCAAGGTATTCTTTTTCCCTAGGTGCATTATTTTACATTTAGAAACCTTGTAGTTTCTACTGCTTTGACCAATCTTCCAGCAATGCCAGCTCCCTCCAGGGATATCATTCCTATTAATATAAAATGGGTGCAGCGCTAAAACCTTAAAAATGCCAAGTGTCAAAATATAATAACCACATACAGCTGTGTTCAAAATAATAGCAGTGTGTTGAAAAAAGTGAATAAAGCTCAAAATCCTTCTAATAGCTTTTATTTCCATACACACAAATGCATTGGGAACACTACACATTCTATTCCAAATCAAAACATGAAGAAAAGTATATCAAATTTGTGTTGTTCCTCTAACAAAATTGAAGAAAAGTGAATATTAGACTGTTCAAAAAAAACAGCAGTGTTTGTATTCTTCTTTACAAACTCAAACATTCACTATATAAACTGAAAAATGTTTGAAGATTTTGCTTTCCTTTGAATCACTTAATTAATATTTAGTTGTATAAGCACTGTTTCTGTGAACTGCTGTACATCTGTGTTGCATGGAGTCAACCAACTTCTGGCACCTGTGAACAGGTATTCCAGCCCAGAATGATTGGACTACATTCCACAGTTCTTCTCTATTTATTGGTTTTGCCTCAGAAACTGCATTTTTGATGTCACCCCACAAGTTTTCTATTGGATTAAGATCCAGGGATTGGGCTGGCCACTCCATAACGTCAATCTTGTTGGTCTGGAACCAAGATGTTGCACATTTACTGGTGTGTTTGGGGTCATTGTCTTGTTGGAACACCCATTTCAAAGGCTTTTCCTCTTCAGCATAAGGCAGCATGACCTCTTCAAGTATTCTGATGTATTCAAACTGATCCATGATCCCTGGTATGCGATAAATAGGCCCAACACCGTAGTATGAGAAACATCCCCATATCATGATGCTTGCGCAACCATGCTTCACTGTCTTCTCAGTGTACTGTGGCTTGAATTCAGTGTTTGGGGGTCGTCTGACAAACTGTCTCCGGCCACTAGACCCAAAAAGAGCAATCTTACTTTCATCAGTCCACAAAATGTTGCGCCATTTCTCTTTAGGCCAGTCAATGTGCTCTTTGGCAAATTGTAATCTCTCTTCAGCACATGTCTTTTTTTCAACAGTGGGACTTTGCGGGGGCTTCTTGCAGATAGCTTGGCTTCACATAGGTGTCTTCTAATTGTAACAGTACTCACAGGTAACTTTAGACCTTCTTTGATCTTCCTGGAGCTGATTGTTGGCTGAGTCCTTGCCATTTTGGCTATTCTTCTATCCATTCGAATAGTAGTTTTTCGCTTTCTTCCACGTCTTTCAGGTTTTGGTTGCCAATTTAAAGCATTTGCGATCATTTTAGCTGAGCAGTCTATAATTTTCTGCACTGCTTTATATGTTTTCTCCTCTCCAATCAACTTTTTAATCAAGGTACGCTGATCTTCTTAACAATGTCTGGAACGACCCATTTTCCTCAGAATTTCAGAGAGAAATGCACTGTAACCAGCATGTACAACATTTGCTGCCTTCCTTCCTTAAATAAGGGCAATAATTGCCACCTGTTTTTCAAAGAATGAATGACCTCACTAATAGAACTCCACACTGCTATTATTTTGAACATGCCCCTTTCAATTAGTGATTCAATTACACAGAATCAGCAGCATGCATGTCATGACTGTTGGGTCTGTTGGATTTCTATTACTCTACTACACCTGCTAGTAAATTATTTGCCATGTAGAATTATAATTTCTACCAAAAACAGTGATTGATTAGGTTAGTGATGTCTGACTGCTATTATTTTGAACACAACTGTATGTAATAAATGACGAATATATATGAGAATATTCAATAAAGTGACCAGTGATAAGGTGCTACTATATCAACAAATAAAGTGACTTAATGGCAACATATATCTCTGTCACTGTGTAGTGATCAGTAGTGCTGAATAAAGTGCTGGAATAGTCATATCAATGTCCAAAGACGGGTGTATGGAAGATCTGATAATGATCTTCAATTGCTTGTGTATGTTACCATAGAGCCGCATTCATCTTCTGGTGTCAGTTTCATGTCGGTTACACTGGGGACAACAGAGCAGGAAGCCGTCTAACAGACATAACAGCTGATATAGCTGCATGAGGGGAGTGGCAGAGCCATTGCTGACAGCAGAGGAAGCAGCGAGGGAACATCAGACCAGACCACACTCACCTCTAAAGGGGCCTCCAGCTGATCTACTGAGAGTGTTATCTCTAAATGCGCTATTTGCTTGCGCATCTGGTGAGTGTGAAATCTTTACACTACTGGACACATCACTTTAATACTGGATAGATCACCATCAATTGAAGATCATTATCGGATCTTCCATACACCCGTCTTTGGACATTGATAATACTGTTCCAGCACTTTACTAAGCACTATTGGTCACTGCACAGTGACAGAGATATATGTTGCCACTAAGTCACTTTATTTGTTGATATATTAGCTCCTTATTACTGGTCACTTTATTGAATATTCTCATATGTTTTGGCGCTGCACCCATTTTATATTGATGCTTTGGAGATTTTTTGGTACCTTTTGGTGCTTCAGCAGCTCAGTTGATTTTAGCGCTCACTTACCTCTCTGTGCTTTCTATATCAATCCTATTGCACACCCTTGTGCCATTAGCAAACATTTTAGTTATATCAATTGAAAATAGATTAAATAGAACAGGTGCCAAAGCAGGCAGGTGAAGGAGGCCTATCAAGTTATTTTTGCTACCCTGCCCTTCCGAGAGGAATTCCCATCTTAGATAGTTGTTACCCAGGGGCGGACTGACAACTCATGGGGCCCCCTGGCAATAGGGGATCATGGGGCCCCTGTGTTCTTGCCCAAACTCAAAAAAACCTATGAAAAAGGTACCAGGGGCATCTCATGGGGCCCCCTACTGACCCCGGGCCCTCAGGCAGTGCCCAAGTTTCCAAATCGTCAGTCCACCCCTGTTGTTACCAAAATGTAGTAATTAGGAATTACCCTCACTTTATGTCTTGGTAACAGTGACAGAACAAAGTGAATCATCTCAGCAGAGACAAAGACAGCAAAAAAAATTTAGCCAATGATCTAAGCCTTTCCCATTCTAGCCAACAAAAAAAGTTGCCTCTCATTCCAACGTTGTCTTGTTTTTGTTTAACATGTATTTTTTTCTGGCTGATAGCTAAAAAGAGTGGGAAATTTGAGTGGAGAGTGAAAAAGTTTTACTTTTGACTGCTGGTGATTGCTGGTACTTGTAGTTGTTTTATTTTCTTCTTTGGGTCTTGATGAAAGCTTTTACTTTTTTAAATCACTTTTTCTGTCACTTTTTAAATAGCATTGTTTTTTCTTCTTCTCCTTGTCTTCCTTCAGTCTGCTAATTAAGGGAGGGGTTAATTGGTCACAGGTGCTACAGGTATGATATAACTTGCTGTAGAGCTCACTCTGAGCTTGCTCATTCTTGAGCTTGTCTGTATTTTGCTTGCTGGACCTTCGAGTAAGTGGACATTTGATAAGTGGAGTTAAAAAACCAGAGTGGAAAACAGGAGATTATAACAGGAGTCTACTGACCTGTAAATGACAACTGATACTTCCTATTAATATTGTAACTGGGATATGAGTGCTAGCGGGGTTGAAGGTTTTGTGCAGTGCACAAAACACCGCATGTATGCAGCAATGGAGCAACAGCTCCAGGATGGATACCTCTGCGACAGATGTGAGTGGGTTGCCCTTCTGGAAACTTGCGTTAGAGATCTGGAGGAGCAAGTTGCAACACTGGGCAGAACTGACAACCTTTAAAGGGGTCTTCTGCTCTCAGAGTAGGTAGCTAATGGGATTGATGTGGAGAGTGTAGGGGCTAATCAGGATTATCAGGTAGGAAGATGGGTTACTGTAACGGGAGGGAGTGGTAGGGGCTCACAGAAAAGGAAGGCAGGCCCTGGGTTTGTGCACCCAAACATATTTGCCAAGTTGGGTGAAGATGTGGGGGGGGGGGAAGCAAGCTCAGGAGTGGCAGTCCTGGATGTCACTGCTATCCCTAGGGCACACCATCTGGGAGCGGTGATGAGGATAGTGCAGGAAGGCCTAGACAGTTGGTGGTAGTAGTGGATTCTATAATCAGAAGGACTGATAGAATAATTTGTCACCAGGATCACCTCAACCGAATGGTTTGCTGTCTCCCTTGTGCCAGGGTTAAGCATGTGGTGGGTTGGGAGGGGCTGGGCATGACTCAGCTGTCTTGGTCCATGTTGGAACGAATGACAGAATACATGGAAGGTGGAGGCTCTTTAATAATCAATTTAAAGAACTAGGCTGCAAGTTAAAGGGAAGGACCTCCAAAGTGATATTCTCTCAAATATTACCTGTGCCATGCGCAATTCAGGAAAGACTGGGGGAGATTAGAGAACTCAATGTATGGCTAAAGACCTGGTGTAAGAGAGAAGGATTTGGGTTTCTAGAGCACTCGGCTGACTTTTCATTGAGGTGAAACCTATATGCTAGAGATGGTTTGCATCTAAATAGAAAAGAGTCTGCTGTGCTGGGAGAGAGGTTTATGGGAAGGCTGGAGGAGTATTTAAACTAGGATTGAGGAAGAAGGGAGAATTAGATTATAACGGGATAGACAGATCAGACAGGGGTCAGTCCTTATTGGTGGTAGAATGGGGAAAGATGGGGGAGGGCTATGGCAGATGATAAGAAGGTTCCCATGTTACAAACAACTAGTGAAATTGGTACCATTGATATGAAAATAAAAAATATGCAAAATATGCGCGCACAAGGTGTCAATGAATGAAAGTGTTTGTTTACCAATGCCAAGCAAAATAGTTGAGTTGGAAGCTTTGGTGCATGAACAGAACTATGATTTAATTGGTATTGCTGAATCTTGGCTTCATTCTTCACATGACTGGGCCATTAATATTCCTGGCTATGTTCTCTTTTGGAGAGACAGGGTAAATAGGAAAGGTGGTGGTGTTTGTCTCTATGTGAGAAGTGAACTCAGAGAGAGTGTGAAAGAGGACTTCGCTGATGGAGAGTGTGATGAGGCTGAAGCATTATGGGTAGAACTGCACATGGGGCTGCGTACTACAAAAGTAATCATTGGAGTTTGTTATAGGTCTCTCAGTGTTAATGAGGAGGTGGAGACTCAGCTCCTTGCAGAGACTGTAACTCCTGCAACGGCTGGGACAGTGATAATAATTTTAAAAACCTGGAAATTGACTGGTGTAATGGTACTGAAGGAATCGTTAAAAGGCAAACATTTTTAAACCTACTACAAGACAATTTTATGGTACAGTTCATAGAGGCCACAACTAGAAATGATGCTCTGCTGAACCTGGTAATCTCAAACCATGCAGAGCTTATTACAAATGTCCATATGAAAGAACATCTGGGTAGCAGTGACCATAACATGATATCATTTTATTGTTAGCTGTAAACAACAAGTACACACGCAAAAAATAAAAACGCTCAACTTTAAGAGAGCTGATTTTCCAAGGCTGAGAGCTGCTCTGCAAGACTTAGACTGGGAAGGAATATTGGTATCAATGAACACAACACAGAAATGGGAGTTTTTAAAAAGACTGTATGTGAACACACTGCAAAATATATTCCCATGTGGCTTACAGCCAAAGTTTAAAAAGCTATACATAATAATAAGAAAAGAGCTTTTATTAAATCTAAAAATGAAGAAATGCCATCATCATTTAAACATTACAAAGAATATAACAGAATATGTAAAAAGGAAATAAAGGCCGCAAAAATTGAAAACGAACAACAGATTGCAAAAGATAGCAGGACCAACCCCCAAAAATTCTTCAAATATATTAATAGTAAAAAGGTCCAGTCCAAGCAAGTAGGCCCTTTACAAAATAATCTAGAGTGGGTGACTGGGGACAAAGAGAAGGCAAATGTATTAAATACCTTCTTCAGCTCTGTGTATACAAAGGAGCATGGGGGAGCTCTTGTCCATAATGGGCATGATATTGACACAGCTCCAGCTGATCCACATTGGCTCAAAATTGATATGATCCAAAAATATTTAGACAGAATAAAGCTGAATAAAGCACCTGAACTGGATGACACACACCCACGGGTCCTTAAAGAATTGAGCTCTGTCATTTCAAAGCCATTGTTTCTAATGTTCAGGGACTCTTTAATAACTGGCATAGTACCACTGGATTGGCATAAGGCCAATGGGGCGCCAATATTTAAAAAGAGGTCAACATCTTTACCAAGTAATTATAGACCCGTTAGTTTAACTTCTATTGTTGGGAAGATACTGGAGAGTTTAATAAAAAAAACCACATAGATGAGTTCTTGCTGGAAAAAAATATTTTAAGCAACAGCCAGCATGGATTCATGAAAGACAGAAGTTGTCAAACAAATATGATTTCCTTTTATGAGGAGGTGAGCAAAACCTTGGACAGAGGGGTGGCGGTGGACGTAGTATACTTAGATTTTTTGCAAAAGCGTTTGACACAGTTTCCCACACACGGCTAATGTGTAAGGTAAAGTCTACAGGCTTGGAAAAATCTGTATATAAATGGATAGAAAAATGGCTAAAAGATCGTATTCAGAGAGTAGTGGTTAATGATTCATACTCTGAATGGTCTGGGGTCATCAGTGGTGTACCCCAAGGTTCAGTGTTGGGACCCTTACTTTTTAATATATTTATAAACGATATAGGGTCTGATATTATAAATACCATTTCAGTCTTTGCAGATGACACCAAGCTGTGCAGTGGAATAACGTCCTTACAGGATCTTCACTTGGGGGCTAAGATATATGCATGCATCATACATACTAGGGGGAGTACAACTGGGGGAATCAATGGTGGAGAAGGATCTGGGAGTTCTGGTAGATGAAAAGCTTAATAATGGCATGCAATGCCAAGCTGCGGTTTCTAAAGCAAGCAAAATCCTCTCTTGTATTAAAAGAGGTATAGACTCCAGAGAGAGAGATATCATTTTACCCTGGTACAAATCATTAGTAAGACCTCATCTGGAATATGCAGTTCAATTGTGTGCACCAATTCACAAAAAGAACATTGGAGAACTGGAGAAAGTACAGAGAAGGGCAACCAAACTGATAAGAGGCATGGAGGAGCTCAGCTATGAGGAAAGATTAGAGGAACTGAATTAATTTGCTCTTGAGAAGAGGAGATTAAGGGGGATATGATCAACATGTATAAATACATCAGTGGTTCATATAGTGAACTCGGTGTAATTATTCACCCCGAGGTGATCACAGAGGACAAGGGGGCACTCTTTATGTCTAGAGGAAAATACATTTAATCTCCAAACACGGAAAGATTTCTTCACAGTAAGAGCTGTGAAAATGTGGAATGGACTCCCTCAAGAGTTGGTCCTGGCCAGCTCAGTGGATTGCTTTAAAAAAGGCCTGGATTCTTTCTTTGATACACAGAATATAACTGGTTAATATTAATAGGTAAAGTTGATCCAGGGAATATCCAATTGCCTCTCGGAGGATCAGGAAGGAATTTTTTCCCCTGCAGGAGCAAATTGGATCATGCTTTGCTGGGTTTTTTGCCTTCCTCTGGATTAACTGTGGGTGTAGGATTATAACTTTTTTTTAATGGTTGAACGGGATGAACTTCTGTCTTTTTTCAGCCAGACTAACTATGTAACTATGTATTGCTCCACAGTTCTATATACTTGTACTACATATAGTGTGTTTGAATTATTTAACCTCACTTTAACGCTTTCTGTCAATTTCAATAAAATCTAGCAAGTTCTAATCAGAACGCTATGGGCTATAAGTGCTGACATTAAGTAATGACTCTGTAAGTCAATTTGTGAATTCCAACTCAGTTAACAAACACACTTCTTATGAAGAGGCATGTTCATTAGGAATGAGAGCATAAGCTGTTGATAGCTGAGCCATTATGGCTAGTGTATCTCTTTATCAGTTAGCAAGACTTGCTAATCGTCGCATACTCACATGCAGGAAGAATCCGCTATGTGCTTGTATACAGGTACTCATGAAATAGTAAATATGAGTGAATTAAATTTTCAGCAGCACACAATGATGCAATTTTAAACTGAATCTGTGCTTTGCTAAGGCAGGACAAAGCAACAGTTTAACTGTACTTCTGACCTCCGCAGAACCATAAACTTACCTCCCT